CAGAATGCATCAATGAATTTTCATATAATATGCATTTAATAGATTGGGGGGGCTTCTCTCTCTTCCTCTCTCTCTTTTAAAGCTGTGCAAGAGCGGAATTCGTATGCTGTAAGTGTGTGGAAACGTGTGAAAGCCAAGTTAGAAGGCCGGGATTTGGATCCCAACAGGAGAATGTCTGTTGCTGAACAGGTAACTTCCTGAGCAAACTTGGAGCATTTTTTCTCAAAGACTCCCATAGTAAATTACCGTTGGATTATTTTTCCATTTCTTGTGCGTTTGAATAGTTTTTAATATCATATATGCTTCTGCATTCTCAGAAAGAAAGATTATTTTTGCATACATTTTGCTTGAAGCGTCTTATTCTCATGTCTGAAAGCATATAACCCGTTGATGTGGGTTTTTGCCTCCTTTCTGTTTTTGACCTGTGCTTAAGCACTGTTCAAAATCCAGATTGTAGCTTCTCTTTTGTACGTGGTTAGCAATAAAGATTTAATTAGTGATCTACTTTTTGTCATGAAAGGATGGAGTTTTTCCTGATAAGACTCCCTGCAAAAGTTCGTTATGTAATTGAAGAACAATCCATGGTATATCAAGACCGTAGTTTAATATGTCAGGCTATTTAACTATACTGTTAACTGGACATCCTGACTTGCTGATAAAGTATTTTGAACTTCCCACTGCTGGCCAGATTTAGACACAGGATTAGACAACCTTCTTGGTCTATCCCTTTGGTTCACAAGAGGTCTTAGAGATAGGCCTCTGTGACATCTTTTTTGCTGTCCCTGTTGTAAATGTTGTCTTTAACTGGTAACAGGAGTGGATAGTCTTGGATTTTCCCCAACTGTTTTTGAAGTTGACTTTTCCGAAATAACGTAGAGGGTGGGTTTATTGATCAAATATTAGAAGCGGTCTCTCTCTGAACAGGATTGGAAGCTCTAACTTTCTAACTTGCCATTCCTTAGGTTGACTATGTGATTAAGGAAGCAACTAATCTAGATAACTTGGCTCAGCTGTATGAAGGTTGGACAGCCTGGGTATGAACAGGAAGAGAGCGGGTCAGTTTGGTTCAGCGAGGTGAGCGGCATCCATCAGAATCAACTGGGCCTCAGGCATCCATAGGAGCACCACGGTTGGTGGTAACGCCTTTCTGGGGCTTAATGTGAGGAGACCTCAGCAATCTCGGTGCACTGGGAACGTGAGCCCTGCAGAGTAGCTGCACTCAGGGATATGCTAAACACAATGGCCTGGACCCCCCCTCCCTCCCCCAGGGTCAAGAGTGGAAGCTCATCGCCTGAACACACAGGGCTGTCTTTCTGCTCCAGAAGAACTGCAAAGGTGTCCGGGGGGCGGGGGGGAAATAGCTGCAGAAAGGTAATTGGGAACGCTACAGACCGCAGAGTGATTTGGAACTCAGTTCCACCTGACCCTGTGAACAATCCAGGAAAAAAAACAACCCCCCCCAAAAAAGGGGGGCGGGCGTGAAGAAACTGCAGCAAAGGAAGATTTGAGAGATTGAGTTTCTTGAGTCGCTCTTGTTGCTCGGCAACAGCGCTGGTTGAGTCGACCAGTTGGTGCAAAAAAAAGAAAAAAAGGAGGAAAAAAAAGCTACACGAGATGAACTTCAGAAATAGACTGAAATGCAAAGAGCTGTACATCAGCTATGTTGGAAGAACCCTCTGAGAAGAGAGCCTTTTGTCTTTTTTTTTTTTAAGTTCTTTCCCTCTCCTGGTTTCTTCTCTTAGTTCAGTTATTTTTTCCAGAGAAGTGTTTATTTCACTCCTTGTATTTCACTCTTCAGTCAAATGAATCTTTTGTTTTGTTTTGGCAAGCCAAATTTCCAAAAGCACAGGGAATGCTGAACATTTAAGCCATTGCCTTCTGAGTGGGCTGATCAAATGCAATTTTTGGTTGGTTTTTAAAGCGAGGGTTTTTGTTTTCGTTCTGGTGATTCTATCATGTACAGTTTCCCCAGATTGACTGTGCATTTCAAGTAACATATTGAACAGGCATTTGATTTCATCTGCACCTTTCCCTGCTTGCAGTGCCTACTCCTTTTATAATTCAACCCTTGGCCTACAAAGCTCATTCTATTGTGATTTGCTGTAGTTTCTTTTGTAAACGTAGCTACTCCAATGTAATTTTTACCTTTTGCAACGAAGAAGAAAAAAAGAGCAACTACAATATCTTAAGTAGCCTTTTATGTTGTTGATGACAGAAAATCAATAAAGTGAAGTTTTAGTGGAGGTAGTTTTATGCTGATTCACTTCCAATTTTGATTTACCCATGAATGTATAGTGTTTCAGTTCGATCTGGGGATTTAAAGGCAGACATATAAACTGAAAATAGACTTTCGGGGGGTTTTGTTTTGTTCAAATGACATTGTATAAAGATTTGTGTGGCGTTACTTTTCCATATGACTTCCAATAGGTGGTGTTCAGTATAATAGATTTCATAGTGAATTTCCCGACCAGTTTTCCTAAATCTACCTTGCACTTTTGAATGGTGGGTGTGAGAGAAGTTGCTGTTAAAGTGGCACTTTAAACCAGTCTGTTTCCATACGTCTTCAGTGTTTTACTTGGCTGTGAAATAAAATTTCAGTAACTCCTCAGCTGGTTTTAGCGTTGCCTAAAAGAAAAACAGGCTGCTTCCTGATTCAGTTATTGGTGGTGTCCGTGGACCGACACCTGAAGGGCTCACACCCTTGCCCCCTCAACCTCTTTGTATGTGAACTTAATCTGTCTAATGTGAAAGAACAAATCAGGATTCTGCACATATCCTCTTTAGTGTTTTGAGGATTTAAAAAGCCTTTCAAAGAAGGAATAATTCCTCTACAGCAATGTTTCTCAACCTTGGCAGCTTGAAGATGTGTGGACTTCAACTCCCAGAATTCCCC